GTCGTGGGCTACCAGGTCCGCTTCGACGACTGCAGCTCCGAGGTAGGGCTCCGCGGGCCACATTCCCGAGGGCAGACGGTGGTGGCAGCGGGCTGCACATCTGGTTTCAAAGTCATCCCATTTGCCGGTCTGGTTGGGATGCTGCCCAATTCTGTTTTCCAGGCCTTGCCATGGGGCATTGTGGAAGATGGGCTGGGCCGTGGGAGGCTGCTGGTCCCAGACACTCTACTGGCAGGGTGAAATATATGCAGCCCCAGAGCTTTCATCCTGCTCTTAAAAGCTTCCAAGCGTTAAGATTTTTTTCTTTCCCAGACGCTGAGCATTAGGTGCATTATTTGCTATATAAAGGGATATGTCAAATACTGGAATATCTCTGGGCTCTTTGGGAATATTCCCTGATCTACCTGGGATCTTAATTAAATTCTTATTTTGCTCTGTGCTAAGAAGCATAGCGGGGTTTGTAAAGTGCTTTTGGTACTTTTGGTTTTAGCTGATTTGTTGCTCTTGTTGCTGTGAACAGCTGGGCTATAGCTGTAGCTGTGTGTGTCAGGTCGTTCCCCTGATTAGTTTTTTTTTGTTTGTTTTCTGAACACGTTACAGCGGAAACACTGTCAAGTGCCCTAAATTCCTGTGATATAATCTAACAGAGTGCTCTAGGTGAATATCTGATTTCTGCAGAAATGTTTACTTGGATAAAGTATCCAGGACATCAGCTGAATGTCTGATTAAACCTTTCAGGATACTGCAATCAAGTACATGACTGATGGCTGCTTGTTGAGACAAATATTGGCAGATCCTCTCCTCAACAAATACAGCATCATCATTTTGGATGAAGCCCACGAGCGGAGCCTCAGCACAGTGAGTGTTGCCTTCTTAAATGCAGCTCCTATTGGGTATTGCTGAAGGAGAAATCGTAGTTATTGGTAAAAAATAATAAAGATGCAGCACTTGTCCCTTCTGGTCTAGCTTCCATTTAAGGTTATTCTGAAAATAAAATGTTGCCTGTAATACTGCTGGAACCGCTGTAACTATTTTTGTTTTTCAAGACAGTTAAAACTTGGCATTGATGCTTTTCCAAAGTTTCTGAAAGTTTGAAGCCATCATAGTGAACACAAACTTTCTGAAATACTTTTTATAAGAACATGTATCTCACTGGAAGGTTCAGTGTTTCATAGGGTGTGTATACCCTTGCAGGCAGATTATGCCTTTTGGGGTCACAGCAGTATCTAGACTGACCTGCTGTGTGTCAAAAGCTACTGAATGTCACTGTGACCCCCCTGGAGCAATCAGGGTGAGGCTCAAGTTGACTTTGTCCTGAAGAGACTTCGTTCATCTGTGTCACAGCTGTTGGATGGGGAAGACTGAATTTTACACTGTAAAATAGTATAAAAGAAAATTTAAGTCATAACTGTAAACAGTGCAACTGAGGACTATGGAAATTCAGTCCAGTACTGTACACTGGACAAAGGCAGTGAGGTAATAAATAGCTCTGAGGTAACTTCTTACAATTGGCTTGACCTTGAGAATATAAGAACAAAAAGTGAGAAATGTAAGTTATGTGGATTCAGTTTACAGGCTACAAGAAGAGCTGGTGAAGCATTCTGGAAACCAGTTAGCAGGTTTACATGTTTGTGAGAAGACCAGGATAAAGCGTGTGTGTGTGTGAGCGCTTAGGCCCCGAAGTTGTAATTTTTTGTCATTGCTAAGTCCATGGGATATAATCAGTCTCATATATCATCGGGCACTTCTAGGAGAACTGAGATACGTATGTGAGTTGCTTCTGTTTTCTTTCAGGATATTTTATTTGGTTTGTTGAAGAAACTATTCCTAGAGAAGAAACCACTGGGCAGGAAGCAAGACATGAAACTGGTGGTGATGTCAGCTACCCTGGAGGTAGACAAGCTCTCAGAGTTCTTTGGACACTGTTCAGTGCTGCATATTCCAGGAAGAAATTATCCAGTCCAGGAGATATTTTGCAACCTGATTGGCCCAAGAAATACAGGAACCTCTGCATATGTTACAGAGGTAGAGTTAATTTTCTTTCATTTCTGTGTTGTGTTCTTGGCTTGATTATCATCTGTGCAAGAACACAAAGTCTAGCTGTTGCCTTGCTCTGTTGTTAGCATATTTGCAGGATATGGCAAAGAATTTGTTTTTTATGTTTTAGGAAGAGGAATTCAGTTTCCAAGTCCAGCTGCTATTTGCTTGTTTGTTGCTCGTTTCAGGCTATAAAAGTGACATTGAATATACACTTAAATGAACCAAGAGGGGACATCTTGGTTTTTCTGACAGGTGAGAATTTCTTTTGTTCAACAACCGATGACGATTCCAGGTGAACGATGACATTGCCAGCAAAACATCTTTCCAATGACTGCTTGATTTGTAACTAGTACGCACTAGTAAGCAGTGAAGGAGAATCTGCAGATGGACAGAAACAGTCCTGTTGTGAAGTGACACCGTTTAGAGCATGGCTAAATGCATCAGTGCCTATGATAGCAGAAGTGAAAATATAAACTCAAAAGTTTTTGGGTGTATGTCTTTTCTTCTTGTGCCGAATTACATGTGTATTTGTTTTGTCTTTGTTTTTATTTATTCAGGAAGACAAAATTTCTTTAACTGCAAAAATTAAGTAAACTATATCAGTGCATGGGTCATTTACCCAAAGCAATATATGATGTTTCTGTGCAATGCTTGTTTACTGAGAAACCTCAGTGAGAGGCATTTAGGAAAGATGGAATGTCAACACCTAAGTGTAACTCTCATAAATACCATTTTATTCTTGCACTGCTACCGGTGGCTTGGTAATATTGGCAAAGCAATCTTATTTAGAGATGTTGCAAACTAGAAAGGCAGAGTTACAGCTAAACAGGTCACTGAAATGGTTTTTAATGTTTTTTTAAGGTCAAATTGAGATAGAGAAAGCTTGTGACTTACTCTTCCAGAAAGCAGAATCTATAGATTACCGGTATGAAGTACAAGATTCTTCTGTTGAAGGCCTGCTTATCTTGCCGCTGTATGGGTCTATGTCAACAGGTAAGATGCGTATAATGAATATAAGGGAACTTAATTCACATAAATGTTAGGAGAGACTTTGTGACCTTTACTGAATACAGACACTGTGTTTTCAGATGGTCTTGAATCTGACGTTTAAATGCCTGGTTGCAGCCTGTAAAATGCCAAGAGGGTGAATTAGCATTTGTAGGAGCAGGGCAGTGGTTTTAGTCTGAAGATGCTTGTGAGAGGGGAGGCTGGTAATGATCTAAGAGAGAGTGCAAGCCTTTTACCTACTCAGAAGAAGAATTTCATTTCATGAAGGTGTAGCTTTTTTCTTAACACTGTCATAAGCGTTAGACTGATGGCCAAGTTTTTTTTCTCTTTCTTTCTTTTTGTCGCCGTTTCTCAGAAGCTATTTGATTTGAATCTTTCTATACACAAGATCTTTTTGCTGTAGAGCCTTTGATATTTTTAAGTGTAGTATTTTAAAGGAGAAAATTTCAAAGGATAGTTGAATATCCACCTCGTTCGTTTTTTGGAAGGTCAAATGAATTAATGGAAATTGACTGCTAAAACCCACTGAATCCTTTATGAAGATTCTGTTAAGACCAGGCGTCTTGCTTGTTTTCTTAGCTCTGTATTTAGGAAACATCTGGGAGGATTGGCCTTTCTTCATCTCAGATTTTCCTTGAAAGGGGGAACAGTAAAGAGAACATTCTGTGATTCCTGACATCCGCTGAAGTAATAGCTGACCTCTCTTTTGAAATATTTTGTGATCCATTTTCTAATATAATTCAAACCAATTTTATTATGCGTTTAAGTAAGCTTGTTCAGTGTTAGAGATGTGGTTTGATATCAGGTATTGTAACATAATTGATTGTTGATGGACAGCCTGTCTGTCATTTTAGATCAACAGAAAAGAATATTTCTGCCAGCTCCTACAGGCATTAGAAAGTGTGTGGTATCGACAAACATTGCTGCAACTTCTCTGACAATTGAAGGAGTCAGGTATCATTTCCTATCCTTCATAAAAAAATTGTAACAGAGAGAATAATTCAGAAAGTTCTACTAAATTTGGAAAAGCTTTTCTGATTGCTAATATGCCTGCCCAATAAACTATATCTGCTGCCTGCTTTTATGTGTAGAGGATAAAAGGCCTAGACACTGCTATATAGTCTTACAGATGGCTGTTGTTGATGGAGCCTAATTTGAGACACTGCTATATAGTCTTACAGATGGAGCCTTATTGTTGATGGAGCCTGATTTCAAATTAAAGCCCTTTATCCCAGCTCAGTTAAATCACTGTAATTTCTTTGGATGTGGGGGGTGTTTTCCACAGCATCCCATAGACTGGACAGTTGCAAGGCTGCAGCTGGCCAACAGAGCACAACTGCCTCCTCAAAGTGATGCCAGGGAAAGGGTGTTCTCCTTGCTCTGATCATAAGTGTGTGGCTTTTGCCCACAGTTGCAAGGCTGCAGCTGGCCAACAAAGCCCAACTGCCTCCTCAAAGTGATGCCAAGGAAAGGGTGTTCTCCTTGCTCTGACCATAAGCGTGTGGCTGTTGCCTCTCTGCCTATTCAGACCCATGGTGTTTTCCCCTCTGAGTTTGCATCTTTTTCAGATACGTGGTAGATAGTGGATTTGTGAAGCAGCTGAATCATAACCCCCGAGTTGGCTTGGACATACTGGAAGTGGTTCCCATTTCAAAGTAAGTTTGAAATGGGTGTTTTGCTTGTTGTTTCTGGGAGTTGATCTGGTAAGATTGTGTATCACTTGTCCTTTAAAAGAAAAAAAAAAAAAAAGGAGATTGGGGAGATAATGGGACTTTTAGACTCTTTAATTTTAAAGCCATTTTGTTTTCTGCCGTACAGGACGTATTTGGGGAGGTAGAACTTCTTACAAGTTATGAACATTAAGAGGAAATTAAAATGTACTATCAGTAGTCTGGGGAGTGGCTCACAAGTCATCCTGTATTTGCTGACTATAATAGCCTTATTCAGAGAAGTTTTTAAAAAATGTTCCCTTGCGGAAAAATACTCCTTCATTCTGTTAGCTCTTGTATAGCTGGATTTCTTAACTGCTAATGTTAGGTCTTAACTGATATGTTAAGTCTCTCATCCACAAACACAAAAATTGCTGTTATTTATCCTAGTTGCAGCGTGCTTGTTTGAACAATGTAATGGATGAGGGAGTTTATGTTTTTTCCCTCTATTTTGCCTTTGGCAGGAGCGAAGCAACGCAGCGCACTGGCAGAGCAGGCAGGACATCATCTGGAAAAAGCTATCGGCTCTACAGCCAGGAGTTCTGGGAGCAGTGTATGCCCGACCACACGGTGCCCGAGATCAAGAGAACCAGCCTGACGGCCGTGATCCTGACCTTGAAGTGTCTGTCTGTGCACGATGTCATCAGGTACCTCTGCGGAGCGGGGAGCAGCGCTCTCCTCCCGGGCCCAGCTTCCTGCTGCCAGGAGGCAGGATTAGGTCCCCGGCCAACCGTGACAGTTCCATACAACCCGCTCGTCAGCTTTTCTGCTCTTCTCCCGGGAGTCCAGATTGGCTCTTGAGCTCAAGTTCATTTTGTGGTTCTGCCAAAACTAGCTCCTTATCTTCAAAATTAACTGTGACCTTCGTTAATAATATTCCTTTAAAATACCAATGTTTGTGTCCCAAATGCTTCCTCTGTGTTTAATATTTGGTTCATATAAGGACAGAAAATGCAGCTCACCTTTGTGCGTGTGCCTTGCTAAGATTTGTCATTATAATTCTCTACCATAAGGCTATGTGTTTAATAATACCCCTATATACTCAAGACATATATATTGCTCTTGATCTGTAACCATTACTGAAAAGTTACAAGAATATTTTACTGAACAGAGAAACTAACAAAACAAACTTGAATCTGCCCAGTGAGGTATTACCTTTTTTTTGGAAATCATTATTTTTTTTTTCCCTCAATAGATTTCCCTATTTGGACTGCCCTGAGGAGAGACTTATTTTAGAAGCTCTCAAGCAACTTTACCAGTGTGATGCTATTGACAGGTAAATACAAAGAAATGTAGTCACTACAGGAATTTAAATCTAATGGTTCAAGTGAACGAGTGTTCAGGAGTTGCTCATGTGGGCTAAAGGACTTCCCCAGCAGCAGAATATGTTTCTTAATTTGACCAGGAAGTTAGTTACTGGCTTTTAAATATACTCTGGAGTAAAATTAGGATTAGAGCGTGGCTTAGGACTTGGTAGATAGAGATTAATTTCTCCACATTGCCCTGAGTGACCTTGGACAAATTATTTCAGCCCTCTGCAGTGTAATTCCCAATCGCAGATCCCACGGCCATTGTGACCATTAGACACTGGCTGTGAGGCCCATGCAAGGACTCGGGACAGGAAGAGAGATCTTATCCTAAACTTCCAGGAATTCTTCTTGTCAAAAAAAGAAAAAAAAAAAAAAAGAAAGAAAACGCTCTTAATCTTAAGCATTCAATGTACTTAAAAAAATCCCCTTGCCGTGCTGTGAAGCCAGCATAAGCAAACGGGAGGAGGGCCCTTTTATCTAGTGCTGCTTGCTTCGTGTTTGGTGCCTTTCTGAGCCCACATGCAAACTACATGTTGGCAGAGTACAGAGGGGGTTGCTTCTTCTCTTTCTCCATATACTGACTTGGTGTGTGCAATTTATGATTTATATATAAATATAGTTCTGTTGAGTCATATTTGGATCTTTTTCCTGGGATAAGGAGAGGCCACGTGACAAGACTGGGCGAATTCCTGGTGCAGTTTCCTCTCCCTCCCAACCTGACCTGTGCCATCATAAAAGCTGCTTCTTTTGACTGCGAAGATCTACTGCTTCCCATAGCAGCCATGCTTTCTGTGGAAAATGTATTCATTCGGCCAGGTAGGAAGTCCCCTAACTCAAAGCAGTCTCAGGTAGTTTGGGAATTCTCCTTAGACTGGGGCATCCCAGGCAGTGATAACTGACTGTTCATTCGTTTCACAGGCAGAAGCTCTATTACAAGCCTTTGCTTGAGAGAAAAATAACTGCTGTTGGGGAGCACACTGGTGTCCACTTTTGGGCCCAGTGCTGATGGGAGACCTGAGTGTTTGACTCAAATTAATGCCTTACACAATATATTGCAGCGTGAGGAAGGCTCTTCAAGTGCAGTGCCTTGTCTCCCAGAATACCTCCTAGTGGGTGTATAGGGGAGAACATAAGGTGAGGACATGTACACGTGCATGGGACTTTGCCCATGCACTCATACAGGTTTGCGTGGTCTTGAAGTCAGGGCCACATTGAACACTAGCAATTGGACAGCAGCTGTCCCAAAAACTTCAAAATGTTACTGAATTAGGTTGTATTTGGCCCAAGACTGTGAGCTGTAAAGCTGCATATGGGTGGACTAGTGGATTGCTGAGAGCTTGTAAGGGGAAAACTGTTAAGGGGGGAAAAATACAAAACCCTGAACACGCCACAACAAGCTGTCTTGCTGTTGGCATTTGCTTTGGTCCAAGTACTGATAACAGAGGCCTGGTTAGATTTGATTTTAAGGAATGTGGTTGCATCTGGAATGGCTCCTATGTCCAGTGACTATATAAATAAACAGATAAGGCTAGTTACTGTGAGAAGCTCCACCTGCCACTGCCTCCCTTTGCAGTGTTTTTATGACTGAATAGAAAATGTAATTCTGCTGTGGGTTCAGGGAATCACCTTTTGCTAGTGGGAAGCTCAGTCTTCTGAGTCCTCCTTCCCACCTTCTTTCCCTTATAGCCACTGCCAACCTCTCAAGCTGAGAACAAAGCCGTGCAGCAAAATCTTGTGGGGGAACTTTGTCCTTTCTAGTCACTCATTGGCTCTTGCCCAGTTAACTCTGTAGTCTATTAACTCTATCTGTTAGTTTAGCAGCTGAGGACACTGCTGACAGTCTGTACTGACAGCCTGGATTCTGCTCTGGGGTCTTCTTGTTCCCACAAACATGTGTTTGCTTTCCCATCCTCCGCCTGGCAACGTGCCCACGCTGTCTGTTGGTGCATCCCTGCCTGTAGCTCTCCAGCAGCACCAATGTGTTAGGACATTCCCATATATTAGGATACAAAGGCAGACTCCCATCCTAAAGACACTTGCTGTGTGCAGTATGTTTATGAACATATTCTTACTTCAGTATTAGTAATACCTGCAAACCTCTGACCTCATCTGCAGTGCTGCAGTGTAGTAGTTTGGCCTTTGCAGACACATACAGACACATAAGAGGAATAAATTGTTCTGGGGAAGACACTCTTTGTTCTCAAAGTGGTTCTTCAGAACTTGGAATAACACATTGGGAGTGTTACTTCTGGGTAGTACATGCCTAGCATTTAGTAAAGGGGAATTTCCACTAAACTCACCAATCACATTTTTTTTCCCAGAAGTGTTTTATTTATTTAAGATCTCTGTTACAATGGCACTTGAGTGGTAGGGCAAAGGCTGAGTTCAACAGATTACATGGTGCCATGGTGGGATGATTTCAACAATCTGTTTTTTTCTCCTGGGGTAAAACTTTCACTTGATCCCTGAGAACTGTTGGTTTAGAGCTGCTGTTCCTTTATCTTTTTCATCATTGTTTTATGGCTACTCCGAACTGATTGGGAGAAATAAATTCGTAGTAATCTTCTCCATCTCTAGTGCTGACTGAGATTAATCATGGATTTAATAGCATCTACATATTCTTGTCTGGCAGCAATAGAAGGGGAAGGAAAAGTGTAACTGCAGCTGTGGAGG